CAGCAGCAGCAACAACAGACATCACAACCACCAGCAAAATGTTTAACCTGCAAAATAAATTCTAGAAAGCGTCATTAATTAATAATTATCATATAACATATTTTCTATCTTGTTTGTACTTGTTAGTACCTTATACTCGTTGATGTGGAACACTAAGCTGGGAAGATTACCAGACAGACAMAGAGCAGGGTATTTAGGGTCAGCTGTGAACATTATCCTCCTGCGTGAAAAGGATGAAAGATATTGAGGTAAAGMACTTTTCGTATGACTGTGAAAAGGTCGATGTGTGCCTTGCCGCGAACTTGATGAAAAAGACGTCCTTTTTTCACGAGGGTAGCACTTAATARCCAGTGGCTAACAAAACCYGAGGCCCTCATTCCATGATCGAATTGGAATTTGTTCGAATGAAGAATTTTTCGCAATGTGATTGGTCTGACAGTGCGTTACATTGGCTTGACCGTGTCCACGCTGTGTTCATGCCGTGTTTCGAGCATTTGATTGGATGGAGAGTAAATTCTCGTGCAATGTGATTAAGCTGGCGTTTGCCTTGGTGTGTCACGACCGTGTTCATGCCGTGAGTTTTTCACATTCATCTGCTCTAAAAAGCCAAGATAAAGTCGGACACTTTTAAAGTGATATGTTGGGGCGATTGACTCTGCACAAGTATGTTTTTTGATAAATGCTGGGGAACAACAACAGCAAGTGAAGTTACTGCTCAACCAATCAAAATGCTTGGACACAGTGCTATAAGGCACGGCACGGCATTTTTGCTTTTTTTTTCTTTTAGTCTAAATGAGGAAAATCTATTGTACACCCTTTACAGGATTACAAGTCGAAAACACTTGGTAATTAAAAAAAAAACCTTTTTTTTTAATTATGAAATTTAAAAGAAATTTCGTATGACTGTGAAAATGGTGTAGAGCCATGTTAAGGCAACTAAATCTTAATTGGTCTGCATAATAAGATCTAAAATCAGGCATAAAGAGAAAGAATACGATAACAAGCATTTTATCATAATATTATAACAGAAATTCATTATATAGTCCTTTTTTACCTGTCGAGGAAGAGAGAGATGGTGAACTTGTCTAAGACGTGCAGGTCAGTAGAACCAAACGCTTGTCCTATCTCTTTGCCGACATCTCTGGCGTGACATACAATCATCTGTATGTCTGACAAGACTAACGCGTACCTGCAAAGACAAAGGTTTGTTTTCAGCAAACAATGTAGGCATTGAAACTATTTTATAAAATAACTGTTATGAATCTCGCGTTCTGATTGGTTGGGAGCGCGTGCTTTATGAGAGCACACAGCACGCGCGCGCACTTTCAATTATGTCATTCATATCTAAAATAACGGTTATTGTGATTTGTATTTTATAAAAGAAATAAAATCCGCTTCCTCAAGGGCGGATCTAGGGGGGCAAAGGGGGGCTGAAGCCCCCCCTTCAGCAGAAAAAAACGATGCTTT